TTGATCAGGTTTTCAAGTTGTAATTGGTTGACATGGTCAAGAAAATTGACCACTGTGCTCATTTGCGGAGTTTCACTGACCCGACTGGGTTAATTGTTGACAGAATCTTAGCTTGGATAGGAAGGAGTCATTTGGTATTTACCGGATTACATCATCTCTGGCTCCAGCAAAATATCCACTGTTTGCCAAAGGGCGAGCCTGCTCAACGACAGTTAGCCGTGTGTTGGCATAAATATCTGAAATATTGCCGTCAGAAGTGAAAGGTATGGAGAGGTCATAGGTCCCTGATGGCGTGTATCTTTGTAGCCCTACTTGCATTTGTCGCAGTCGTCGTATTAACAATATCGAGTTTAGGCTTTAGGAATCGTCCTGGTGAGAACTTGACGGATGCAGAGGCCAGTCACTAAATATTCGAAATTGTTATATGCCCACGAATACGAGACCAGAAAGAACACAACGGCGTGGTCGGATGGAACGGTATATTTGCAAGGTCAGGCTGAGGTAGCTACGTGTTCGAACTAACTGGCTTGAGGGTCAATTACAAGCAGTGTAACATAACACGACAGCGTGCCAAATGGCCAAGATGCTTGACTGGGTGCCTTCAGCCTGGTAAGTTCAGTTAAACTATAATGATCAGCATCAGTGCCGGATCTTGTCAAATTCTAAGCTATTGATTTTGTAGAAGTGTATGACGCTACAAGACGAATGGTGTTGTGTAAGGAAAGTCATCTGGCGAGGTTAGGGATGCCCAGCGACAGCCTATGTCGACGTGCAGCGTTAGACGAAATGCGATTAGGTAGATGAAGGCTTACAGTGAACATATTAAGGTATAGCATGGCGTCTCGTAGTCGGTCTGAGTCAGGAGAATTGTAGCGTCATATACTTCTCTAGAATCAATAACCTAGGGTTCGACTAGATTCAACATTGATGCTGACCTCCATAGTTTAACTGGGCTCGCCAGGCTGAAGGTCCCCAGTCAGGGATCCTGGCCATTTGTCACGTTGTCATTGTGCATAGCGCCGCTCGTAATCAGCCCTCTAGCCAGTCATCTTGAATGCATCGGTATCTTCGCGCAACCTTGCAAATATACTATTCTATCCAAATAAGCTGTTGTGTCCTATCTTGGACTCGTATTCGTGGGTATATAACAAGTACGAACAATATGTGTAATTGGCCATTGCGCCTGTCAAGTGCGTACCAGGACAATTCCTAAAGAAATATAGAACGTCCATCTGAAGACAACAGGGATCGGTAGTTCTGCTGTATGGCTTAAAATAGGTCACAATATAGCAAACTCACAACTGTTGTATCACTTTCGAATTATGGGATTTTCCCACTTTCATTTTCAGTCGCTGGTCTTATTTACCTTTGTTTACCTTGGTATGGTTCTTTTTCTGTCCACTTCTTTTTTGCTTGGTACTTCTAGGCGTTAAAAATTCGATTTACTTCTATTTGAGGTCTTACTTTGATTTGACTGTCGAAGTTGGTATTCAATAGATTTGGGCAACATATACATGTTGAGGAATGAAAAGTGACATGATAAAATTGGATAAGTAAGGCAGACTCGACAACCTTACTTTTCTTGAGATATTATTTAGATCTAACTCGGTTTTCAGTCATGCTGTCTCGATAGACTTGACATACCTGAGAGAAAGCAACTCCAGGTTAGTATGCATTGTGCGTTGAGTTGAGACAGCTGTTTTTCCACACCAGAAGGCATAGAATGAATTTTAATTTGGTGTAGTGAAAGCTGCTGTATGTCGATATTTAGCATTTAATTGAAATAGCCTACAAACAGGTATGAAATCACGGAAGCATTATCTACCCGAGGAAGAGGTTTGGCCTTCAATGGTCAACGCCCCAATTCAACTGGTCATTCTCTGCATATGAACAACATTAGTCGCCCTCGGCAACTGTGACGGAGACAATATATTAGGATTTAGCACGTCACTTAACTTGATACCTGTTTTGAATCCGAGGGACCTGGTCTTAGAAGTTGACTGTGAATTTGTATTCCTTGCAACAATAAAATCTACAACCAATTTCGTTTTTTCTTCATTTGAATGCTTGGCGAAAAAGTCGTGCTAAATCGGTGGCTACGGGTTTTCTGATGAGTTCTCTTAAGTGATGAATAGATGGTTTAGGATTTGTCCTGATGCGAACTTGACAGACGCAAAGACCAATCACTAATTATTCGGACTTGTTATATACCCACGTATACGAGACCAAGGAAGAACACGATAGCGTAGTCGGATGGAATAGTATATTTGGATGGTTATGCCAAAATACCGATGCGTTCCAACTAACTGGCTAGAGAGTCGAATACTAGCAATGCAACGTAACACGACAGCGTGCCAAATGGCGAGGATGCTTGACCGGGTGCCTTCAGCTTAGTGAGTCCAGTTAAACTATCAAGGTCAGCATCAATGTCGAGAGCCGTCAAACCCTAGGCTATTGGTTTTGGGGGAGCGTATGACGCTACAGTTTTATTATCAACCTCAAACTAGCTTACTGAGTCCGAAGATATGAGTTCTAGCGGTAATTTGGTAACTCATTTTGCACGATAATAGTGAAATCATATCCATTAGTGATATGCGTCAGAAGGTCTTGACAAAGTAGAATCGCTTATATCCTTACTTGGTCAGAAGCCGCAACTAATTAGTTACACTGATCTCCTAACGAACTTGACTAGATAAGCATACCAGTTTGATTATCGGAAGATTTTAAGCATGTCTGTAGGTGAGCGAGTGTGACAGCTGTTCCCTAGCTTTTGTTTCCAATCTGAGATGAAATTTTCAAGCTATTCTGGGTAAAATAAGTTTAGATTGACTCAACGCTGAAGCGATAGTTTGACCCAGTTTGTAACACTTTTGCCCTTCGTTTGTTTGTACAAGGTCGAATACTCCTTAGTTCCTAGATTGATCTGTGGTAGCACTAACAGTCCATAGATATAATTTAAGAATTAGTTACCACTGTCGTCTCTAACTTGCTTTTCAGTAAATGAAAGCATATAGCTTCTGAGTCTCCACAGCGCGACAACTCAATAGTTTATCAACATGTCACCAACATTGCCTCAAGTTTTTAAGGTAACGCTCGAATTCATGCCCTGCACCCTTGTGTACAAAAACTGGTAAAGGCTACTGACGCCGCTTTAATACCCTCTAAATCGTAGATTTCAGAACTCTGCTTAGCAAGCTCCTGTATTGATTTTCTGGAATAAACATGCTGGAAATTTTCACGACTTATGTTTTATGAGAACGAATGCAACTTGAGCACTCGTGATGCTACACAGAATTTCAAAGAAGCGCTGCTGGCGTTGTCAAGAAAGTGATGATACGTCCAGCTTCTCTTAATAAGAGGGTTATGTGCTTAGTTACCATCTGCATTTGAACGAAAACCAGCACAACAGGATTAGCATAAAGTTCCCCACCAGTGGAAGCAACTAGCACCTGGCTAAAAAGCAAGGCAGTCTTCTCAGAGTAATCTCAGGAACACCTAGTAAATTGCCACTAGATAAAAGTTTATGCTTGACCAATCTATACAAGCGAATAGAAACGTTTTGTAACAAACGAAACCCTCGATGATTAATTTAACTGCGAAAATCATGTCACACAAGCTTTATGTAAAATACAGTCAGCGAGTTCTAACTGTACATGCTTCTTGCGTAACCTAACCTTTATTTGACCTACTTTTGAGAATTACCTGTTATGGTTTTCTATGTACATCCCTATATTGTTTTTTTAATCAGATGCATCAAAGTCTTTAAGTTATTCTTTGTCAGAGACTAGATCCGAAGAGTAGCCGCAAAACAGTAATTCACTTTACTTTCAATGAGTTGAAAAGTCATTCACTCAACTGACTTATGATTCACTTAAAAAGACTATTAACAATCAACTATGGTGCACTGGTGACTGGAGAGTAACTGCTTTTATGCTGATACTAGGTGGTGATATTAAAGGTGAAATGGAATTTTGGACAGCGGCGGGATTGGAACCAGCAACCACCGGGTTCCCGGTACAGTGCTCCACCAACTGAGCTACAAGATTTGACTACTGACCAGACTTTTAGTTCATTTTAGTCATCCAGAGTTTTACCCGACTGCGATGCCGATTCGTGACACATTAATACCACTTGATCGTGCTCACACTGGCTGCCCAGTCAGAGCTTCTGAACTCAAACTAAATCCACTTGAACTAGAGAGGGGGAGCATCATACTGATTATCGTCTTGACTATCTGAGATGGCCATGGTTTGCCAGAACTCTTGGTGATTGGAGTGAAATAAACATGTGCTCAGAAGTCGGGTGTCGTAGCTCAGTTAGTAGAGCATCCACCCGAAAACCCGGTGGTCACTGGTTTGAACTCCACGATAGGCCAAATTTTCATTCCCCCTTTAATCATTACCCAGTTTTAGTCCGCCAAACCACGGTTATCTCGGATAGACAGGATGACAACTTCATGTTGTCTAGTCCTGAGTGCTGATCGAATTCTACCGATCACCAAGCTAGGAGGTTAACTATTGCGGTGTATTTTGACAGGTAGTTGGCGACAATGAGCAGGAAGCCAGTCCCACTTGACCTAGGTTCTGTAGTTGCTGGCACTCGGTAGAAAGGCGTATGTATCTTGGAAGACAGTCTCTCGTTTTTACAACCAGAGGTATTAAATTTATTTGTCGATAATGGCAAGGACGGATACTATGTCAGACAGTTCGAATTGGTTTTTCACTTAATTTTGTCACTCTAATAGTTCACACATTGAGTCATCAAATATGCGTGGGAAATCGTATGACCTCAATATATAAACAACCTGCCTTAACTACAACCTAACAGCTCACTATAAACTTAGTTACTAAGTGGCAATATCATACCGGAGCAATGCCCCCCCAATGGAAGTGGTATACGTCCATCTCATACGAAAAAAACCATTGTAATTCCTAAAAGATATAAAGATTGCATTTGAAAGAAGTCAAAGTAATTAAGACCACTCATTTATTATACATCCATCATTTTTTCTTTGCTTGTAGACCAGCACCAGCATTGAATTTAAACAGTATAATATCCCCATCCTCGACAACGTAGTCTCTTCCTTTCTGCTTGTATTTCCCAGCAGCCTAATGCGGTAAAAGAAGGTCGAGAATATTCGTTACATTTTTATAACGCCAAAAAGACGAGAATATCTAAGGGTTTGCTTTGAGTTTACATGCAATAATGTTAACAACCTTTTTAAACTGGTGATAGCCACAATTTTAATCCTTACCTCACAATAAAAACAAGAGTTTTTAAGTCGTGTTTGAAAGCAATGGCTTAATATACTTGACGTTATCCGTATAACTAAAAAATTGACTGCACCGTGATAAATGAGTGGTACGACAGATCTTATGTCTTACTACATGCATATTCATTTTCTATCCAATTGACATGTCTGCTCTACTGAGATCTAATTTTTTTTTTTCAGTTGAGAAATGCGAGATTTTGACGATCATCATCTTTTGCATTAGTCTTCTATGCTTGGAATAGTCAGTCTGATTTTCAGAGGACTTTCTAAACACCTTACCGTTTTTGAAGAACACACAAAAGGATCAGAAAGAAACACGTGTTAGAAAGAACATAACTGGAGAAAGTGAACTGTAGACAGAGACAACATAAGATATTTAAGTGTGTTGAACATCACACCACACTTTACTCTAGCTTGAAGGTTTCAAAGATAGAGATGAGAATATGCAATTGCTTCAATGCAATTTTTTCAGGAGTAGCTTAATCCTCTACATTCCACATTCAAAAAACAAACAGTAATTAAACAAGTCAGTGCGAAAACAGGGGCTAAAAGGATAGGTGAACATAAAAAGTGTATTTATTCACACGTGGTTACATTGATTTACATCTTGGAAACCTGAGGCTCTCTGACAAAAATCACCATATCGATGACAAAACTGAATAGGAATGGGAGGGATGGTAGTCGGCTGCCATTTCTAACGGTACAAACTGTCAGACGTCGTACTAGCATACAAGATAACAAGAGTGCAGTAAGAATAAATACTATATTCATCTTCGAGGCCTAGTGGATAACAATATGGCGTTTGAAGCGATGATTACCGGCTTCAATTCTTAATGGGGTGTAGGGACATCTCCAGCTGACGAGTCGTAAACGCGCGTCCTTGATTCCACTGCTAGTTACTAAGATGAATATGGCATCATGAATATCCGGCAATATAGAGCCGTCCGCATAAAAATAATACTGTTAGGAGTCAACAAGAGCCATGAAAGGACAGAGAAGTAAAAGCTAAAACAATTAACTAAATGCAGTGTTATGGTTAAGGTGAAAATATGATGTACATGTATTTGAGCTAAATCACAAGAGTCTTCGGTTGCACCACAGTCCGCAATTAGGAAGTCTACATTTTCTTTGACAAGCGAACAGACGGTTCGCAGACTTACTTCATATTTTGGTCTGGTCATCCTGAACCTTTCAACACTATTCCAGTCAACAGCATGTTAGGATAGACGAGGGCCTAGAATAGGTAACAAGGGCGAAGCTATCTTAGTTGATCAAGGCTTGCTCACAAACTGACGTCCATCACCTAGAACTATATCTACATTGCTCATATTGTAGTTTCCTTAAAACATGAGAGCAATACTACACAGGAAACAATGGTTAAATATTGGGATTCTTCTTATCCCCTCTACTTTTAATGGTAATTTTCGACAGTCATGAAAAGGAATTTGTTGCGTAGTAAATCTGACTGTCAATATGCATTTGGATATCTCACCGGAATCAGAAGTATATACCAAACTTAAGTCACCAATGTACCTAACCTGAGTTTTTAAACACAATAATGAACATTTATAACTATTACCCACCTAAAATACAGATGTTCTAAATGATACTGAATTCAAATGGTTAGTTACAAAGCTGTTGGGCAACTTCAATATGTACATTAAACTAACATATATTCTCAAATACCAAACTCTGTATCAATAATTTCGACATTGCGCTTATCCAAATGAAATAAATCGGTTAGTTTTAACGGTAAGACAGCGAAAATAATTCCATTCGATGGGTTAAAAGATAACCGGAGTGGGTTTCGAACGCTGGATTTACTTATTGGCAATAGCAAATTAGCCACAACTTTAAAAATATGCTTCAGTCTACTAGTTTACTTGACATATGTTTACAGAAGAGAAAGTTTAGTAAATTAACACGGCTAGAAACTACTGAGTTACCAATTTTATATGTCCTGTCTAACTACACACGTTCAAATCGTTACGCAGTATTACCAAACCTTATGTAACAGCAGCAACTTATAACCTCATAAACAAACCAGTATGCAACAGATTAAATGGAGAACAAACACCAGTTGAATATCTACGCTTTACTAGTAAACCTCTGGAAACATATCAATGTGTGGATTACGTCCTGTTTACCAGGGAATATGCATAGGGTTATTTAATTGGTTGAAAAGAAAGGTGATGGGAATCTTCCAGAGTTTAGTGGTGCCAAAATTACTTTGTTCGGTTTACTACGGTCGTATAAGTTTGAAATAGTGGAGAATGGTTGTGATTCAAGTGGATGACCTTGGTTGTGTTGCGTTGTCTGAGCTGGATGGCTTAATCGTGAAGCTTTCATTGTCTTATCATTAGTACTAACAAAATATATACCTGAGTTAAGCATAACATTTGAGAAATGATATGAAACTAGGAAACAAGTAAAATAATTACCTTGACTGCAGCCTCTGAACCTTCTGTTTTAAAATCTTCATATGACATAACTTCAGCCATTATAAAGCCACGTTCCATATCTGTGTGTATTCGACCAGCAGCTTGAGGAGCTTTTGAACCTTTCTAAAAAGAAAGCAGTTTTGTAGTAATTGAGACTGCAGTGATTTTGGCAAACACACTAGCCTGATTTAAAACAAAAAAGGAACAAAACAAGTCACACACAAGAAAAGCCAACTTTTGTTGACAATTGACTACAGTTTACTAACCAAAGGATTCTTTTGAAGCTAGACGGTGAGGTTACGGATGGCAAACATCCCTTAACATCAAAGTTATGCCTTATAGAAGTTAAGTATTTGAGATACAACTAAAAAACAAATCAATCATTTTAGTGGAAAAGATGAGACCATTAATTTCTCTGATACAAACAAAGTACATAAGAAAAACACTGCAAAATAGTAGCCACTTCCAAGTTGGCACTCATCATAGACTGACATCAGTTGGAGGAACATTAAAAACCTGGGAGCACTTGACAGCTGTTTCTTCCTAGTATGGGACTCCTCAACAGTGTGCACCCAGGACCGTACCAGGGTTCAAACCCAGGACATTTAGTCTCTGTGGCCAGAAAATTACTATTGGCTCGCTGGGTCGGAATCCAATGGTCCATACTCCCAACCTTTGTCAAATTCCGAGATACCGCGACCATCACCCAATGTCATCGTTGAGTATTTGTCCTCACTACTACCAGGTTTGCCCCCGGGGATCACGACTAATCATTGGAACTTCAGAAATCACCTCTCGAAGCTAGTCACCCATGAGCACTAAATTAATTCAATTTGGGGGGTTATAGGGACTTATTGGTTTCAAGTTGGTATTCATCATGGACTGACACACGCGATTCCTGACGAGGTCCTGGACGCGCACTGCTGAGGACTCCCATACTAGGACAAAACAGGTGTCTAGTGCTCCCAGGTTTCCAATATTTCTCCAACTGATATCAGTCCATGTTGAGTACCAAATTGAAATCAATAAATCCCCACAAACCCCTAAACGGAAGTAGCCACTTTACTGATTATTGATCAGTCTGTATCTAATACTTTACATAGTCTAAGGTTATTGGTACTCACTAGTATATAGTTTCAACAGATGTCAATAGTTTTTTGAGAAACCTATAACTATGAAAAACAACACACAGAACACCGCATATACTCCTCTTTTCTCACCAACAACTTTGTACTGCTTCAGATAAACGGAACACGTAGTGGACTGCTCAAGTTACTGTCCATGGATAAAGATAGGTTCTTTATATCTTCAGTTATTAACTTAATTTGATAGAATAGACACGTGGTACTCACTAGTTCCCTTCGCACTATACTGTTCATGAAGGTGATGCAATCATCCACTGTCAATGACAGAATATAATAACAGGGCAAAAAATAAAGATTCTCAAGACGGATATAAAACGTAGCATCGAGTGAGTAGCAAACCCTTGTGAACAGTCAGAATACATTATGGCGAAACAAAACACTTTAAGTCTACAGTGACCTTCATTACAGACTAAGATTAGCTTGACAACCTGATTTTCTGTCCAACTTTTGGAATACACAGTAATGCGCATGTATGACACCATATAAAGCCGAACCCACTCGACACTGGAATACACTGATCCATATTTTCCAGCTTTTGTTAATCTGCTTTTATAGCTTGGTTATCAACTAATATTATCGGTATGTATCCATCCCCACTCCACTTAGTCGAGTTAAAACCCAGACCGACTATACAACCACACAGTAATGGAACATGTAAACAAATCCAAAAGATTGATTAACAGAGGAAGAAAATAGTACAAGAATTTTCGATACCATGCAAGAAAATGATTCTACAATCATAGAGGTAGCATTAACTGTTGTCAGCTGATCAATGTAAAAATCTCAGTTGATGATAGTTCATATACGCCACCTTTAGACCTTGAAAGACGGCTGCTGACATATTTAAAATCACCCATAACCATTGTAAATGTGGTCAACCAATGTAGGGAGGAATGCACTTTCAGCGTTTAACTACAAACGAACCAGGGAAGAGCTAAACTCATGTTGGGCATTAATTTGAACGCTGCATGATAGGAGTTAGACAAACCCGTTTGGTTAATGTTGTGTGTCTACTGTTGCTAATCAACAGGGAGAATTTGAAAATACGAGGAAAATGACTCCTTTATGAAGTAAGTAATGACGAATTCGTTTAAGAGCAAACCTCAACCCTCGGGAAACACCAAATAATTATCAAACTAATGTCTCATCAGCAATTCCAACCAGCACCACTCGTTGAAAAAAGCCAGGCTTCTTCCACTAAGCTACTCATATCAAGACTGATCCTATGTAGGACTGGGTAGTGCATAAGTATAGATCATTAAAGAATAATCGATGCTTGACTCTTAGTGCTCACGCCACTGAACGAAGACTATTTATCAAGTTTCTAATATGGTCCAATAAGCATAAGTGGAACTTCATAGGTACGGACATCTACCTAGTGAAAACGTCAAAACCTTGAACAGTATTATTGAAAGTAGTGATTATCGTAGCACCGCGATAAGCTTCATACCCGTACACATTGATTTATTTCATGAAGCTTAGAGAAGGTCAGGTAAGTTGTTCTCGTTGCAGACGTTGTTGCAAACCAACTCTGTGAAAAGTACACTCGCAGAACCTATCTTTTTAAACAAAGCAGACCCCGAGGACTATAGACAAGTCAATATTGCAGTCTGCTTGCAGCTTAGGCGATCAATTTTTTTCCATCTAGTATATTACATAGAACTGCCACCTTTCAATTACTAACATATTATTTACTCTCATGCATTTTTAAAATGTTTTCAACCTGCTACTTAAATTAACAATGAAATAAGGAAAACATATCACGACAGATGGCAGTAGACTTTTAAACGTAGAACATTATATTACTGTGTATGAGATATTTAAGTTGAATCGCAGATTTTTGCATTGGCTGAATGCACCGGCACTACCAACCTTAAGCATATGCCTTTATACCCTTAGCAGACTAGATGATAACTTGACCTGGTTATGCAGGACAAAATGCAGGGTCTCCTGAACGCATTGAGCAGAAATATGAGTATTGCAGGCATGTGTTTCGCATCTGTCAAATGCAGAACGATACTCTAGGAGTGGTCTGCTGCTAATACTCCCAGTTCAATGATAGGGAGTGAAGTGGTGTAATGCGTTGATCACTTCACTTAAAGAGTTGCATCAGCCCGAAGGCGCTGAATGATGACCAAATATCTCTGCTGGGATACAGAAGGCTCATTTGGTATTAGCCAACTTGAGTCATCTCTGGTGTTGACTGGCGAGATTTTCGACTATCTATCGAAGGATATACTGCGTCGTTCATTCTGTCCTCTTATACGGCTGTGAGACGTGGTTGTTAGAAGTAGAAAACATGAAGCGACTGCAGGGTTTTGATCATAGGTGTTTTCGTAGAATTGCACGTGTATGGTGGAATCAAAGTGTGAGCAACGTTGATGTCAGGTCAGGTTGTAAACCGTCATCTAATGAGATGGTCTGGACATGCAATGCGCAGGCCAAGCGAGCCACCGCTTACCTCGATGTGTCTATGTTGGGGGAAGTTGGATTAAGTTAAAAGAGGGTTCACGGTGGTTAGACTAAGACCTGGCACTAGTTGATTAAGTCCCTTATTGGTGGCCTGAGCCATGTGTGGAGATGTAAACTGCCTGGCGGAAGTCCTCGAGACGATAGGAATCAGTGTTTGAGGGTTGACTCTTAGTAAGATGGCTGGAAATTGGTGAGAATGGTGCAGACGTATTCACTGTTTCACGTCTTCTACAACTTGAATATTCTCACTAACCTTTATCTTCAAATTGTCTATTCTCTCACACAACTTTGTCTACTTTGATATCATTGTTTTTCTATGCACCTGTTGTTTGTATACTACTGTGGAGTGTTGCAACTTGAGCTGACGTGGATGTGTGCGAGGTTGTACATTGATGTTGTCTATCTGTCTGTCAGGGCTTATATGGAGAGTTGTCATGTGAATTGACGAGAACTAGTGATGTCGGCCAGTGATGGGGAGTGTCACCGATTTGTTTCCAGTTTGGTTATAGATGTACTAATGGACATAACCTCAGATAGGTGTGACTTCACGGGGCTTGTGACCCATCGTGTATAGGGCATTTGGCTGACTTTGAATATTCAGACGATATTGTTGTGCTAGGTGAATAGGCTGACAAAATGCAGGGTGTTGTGAAGACGTTGACCAAAAATCTGAGTATGTTTTGTGTGTGTGTTTCACATCTGTGAAATGTAAGGTGATGCCCGAGGACTAGTGTGGAGGCAGTGGGGATTTAATGGTCGTGAGTGAAGAAGTAGTGGGATGCATCGACAAGTTGACCTACTTCGGGGAATTTGATCAGGTCGAACGGTCTGGTTGATGACGAAATCTGAGGAGTGATAGAAAATTGTTTGCTTAGCATTTGCCAACATGCATCACCTCTGGTGCCGGCGAGATATCCAACTACCTATTGTTTTTAAAGGACGAGGTATACTATGCTGCAATGGACTTGTGTCCTGATAAGGGGCTGTGGGAGGTGGGAGATAGATATGAAGAGACTGGAGGTTTCTGACCATAGGGGTTTTCGTAGTATCGCTCACGTGTTGTGGAATCACCATGTGAGTTATGTTGAGGTCAGTCGAAGGGTACTAGGCAAATCGATTGACGAGGTAGGTTGTGAACCTTGATTGGGTGTGGTGGGTTGGACATGTGTTGCGCATGCCGATGCACCACCTACCTTGACGTGTGATGTTAAGGGAAGCTGGATTAGGTTGTAAGAGTGTTGAGGGTGGCCAGACCAAGACATGGGATCAGTCGATGAAGTCCGTGACTGAATATTCGCACTAACGGTTATCTTCAATTGTTTATTCTCTCACACAACTTTGTCTATTTTGATATCGCTCTTTTTCTGTTTACCTGTTCTTCACATACCGCAGTGGAGCCACATGGAGCCAATGCATCTGCGTGCGAGGTTCTACGCTGACTTTGTATGTCTGTATAACTTGACGTACCAACAGCTGGGTGTTTCATATTACTGCCTGTAATACTGCCATTATAACATTACTGAGATGCTATAACTATTTCACTGAAAAATACTGTACAAGGAGGAAATCTGTATGTTGAGTATTCCCTACGGTATCACATGTATTGTCATTGTTTGGAATAAAGTGGTTAAAGCCATTATCATTATTAATAATACCATCAACAGTTTTTTGCCTTAATTTCCTTCTTTGCTTGACAAAAAGGGGAATCATTGAATGAACAAAAAAAGTCATCTCTATGACAGCATCATAACAAACCTGGACAGTCCATGCTTTCACTTCATCTTTACCACATGTGAAGAAATATTGTAATTGCAAAGTTTGATAACCGACTCGAATAATTTTTGGCAGCATACTAGTGAATTCATTTTCTTTCATATACGCTTCAGCTTCTTCTGGTGACATTTCACTAATTTTTTGTTCCAGATCAGCAGAAAAAGGAATAATTACAGCACCTGGATCATGTTCATCTACCCATTCTTTGATCTTTGGGAGCCTATTTATTACGACCGAAATAAGGTGTACAGAATTATCAAAAATCAGACATGAAACTGATAATATTCTGAAGATACAACAATATTATTCAGAAATTTATTATACATTCAAAGTGGTAGTGTTTAGGCATAGATCAAGCAGGTAAGGAAACACCAACCTGGGAACTGGTGCTACTGCACAACGGTCCAAGTGACTACACGTCATATCAGAAGATCAAGACAAAGGGCACCAGGCAGAAGGATAGAGATATCAGGAAAAAAACAATGGAGGTGGTAGGTAGTAAGTTGTGAAAAGAGAACAACATGGAAGGAAATAATAGTGGGATTCGGTATGACAATTAAGATAAGCATAACAAATGGACGCATTCACATCTCTAATATCGATTTTCAGTTATTCTAGTCTCCAATTAACGACTTCTGTTGTCAACTGGATACAAACTGAGAAGTCTATATTTCCATGTCCGAACATGTGCTCCAGAAGGAAAATTAACCTCCCACTGATCCATTCTAGCCACAACTGATAGCAATAAGGTCTGTCTGCGTCCCCAGTTGAGTTCGGCGGACACAATATCAGTGTCAATGTGCGAAGTTCACTCTCACCAGAAATAGGTGGTTGTATGAGCACAATAGTAGTAGGCGATTGGTGTTATCCAAATCTTCGGCTGTGATCCTGAAAGTGCTCCCAAAGTAACTTTCTGTTTGACTTAGCCTATCCACTTCAGCATTAGAAACACCGGCTACAACATCTGAACCTTTGGCTTTCAGTAGGAGGCTAGATAATGTCCAGCTGAACGCATCTTAGTCCTCGCTGCACCATTCAGTCGAACAGCGCTCAGACAATGGTCAACTGGGATCCAGTCGAGCAATGCACTTTCTATCCCAGGACATTACATATCCATTACCGAGTTACAATTACTCAATATACTAGGTGTTTCTGTAAACTTTTTCAAGCCATCAGTAAAAATGACCTCCAAACACATATTACTAAGATTGGATTATAAAAATGGTCTATGTACGTGAGATTGTACACTTGGCAATTGAAATGAGTGAGTTCTCCAAACCAATGAATGTGTGAAATGAATTCAGACTACTTCCAATTACTTCAAGCAACCAATCAGTATCAGCATACACTGAGTAACGAAATGTAAAGGGCTTACACTAGTTTTTCCATGTTACAACTACAAGGTGTTGTCTGGATGGGACTAAGTGCAACGATGTCTGATTAATCACATACTAAACTAGGTTTTGCTACGATAAACGTGTTGTCATCGAATAGTGACTAGCCTGGAGTCAGGCTAAATGAAAATGAAAAAAAGACGAACGGTAGCCCCTTAATTCGTCTGTATATACCAACAACATAAAGATTTCAAAACAATAATGACGCCAAACAGATATCTATACACAAGAATATGATCGAGGTAAAATAATTAGTGTAGTCTTTGGATAAGTACTAGACAACCAAGAGTAGTTACACCCTACCCCTCAAATGTTCAGATATAGCTGAGGATGGGATGATCCCGATCATTCTGTCGAGATGTTCTCATATTCTCCTGCCAGCATATTCCCAATCGGTCTTCACGTGGCTGGGAATGTCCCCACAGAAATGAGAGGAAGAAACCAAACGTTGGATCTCATAACCACATTGGTGCACACAGAAAGCACACCCGGGTGGGTTGGAAAACCTTGATTTCAAATCAGTCGTGCAAATGCGCCCCACCATCCACAAAGGAGGAATGCCACACAAATCTATCTCGGTCACCATTAAAAATACTGCATTCTAGGTTGTTTCACTAACTTCTGGATCAGATTTCAAGTCAAAAGATCGGGGAGTCATCCCTCAAGCAAACCAGGTAGTACCACAGCTTACGTACAATTTGTGACTAGTAAGCATTATCAACTCTTCCTATACAAAGTGAAATCTACGCTATAACAAACAGTCTACTCAATCTTCACATTCCCTTTTACATAGTGGTTATTTTTACACATACTGTCTTTGATAATTATGAGAGTAAAAACTGGGAACTGTGGTAGGGTATAATTCCACACTAGATTGTTTATTTGATATTGCACACAATAGTGGTACAGTATTATTCACTGGAAGACGTTTACTGCCATATTCTTATCAGTGATATGAATATGGGAAATAAGTTCCGCTCGAAACGTCATCCAGTAAACAATACAGTATCTTTGTATGCTATATCCAATAAAGAATCTACTGAGTTATATTATATTTTTGTTATCATTTCATATTTACATTTATGTGCATCTCTGTTTCACTCAAATGCTCGTCACCAATTAAAATTCTGGTCTGTTTGCACAACTTGAGTTGCCAAACAGTTGCTTCCAGAAAGTAATGTTTCAGTGAAACACTTGACAGAACTGCTTTGAGACTTCGCGTACCGTCTAGTCTAGCCACTTTCAACGTCTGGACCTTGATGCAGATCGGAAAACATGCAGGGTTTGGTTAGGACTCTGTAAAATCTCCCTATCCATATTAGGTGTACATCAGAGACCCGAATACAAGATCCTATTTGTCAGTTCTAAAAGTGAATTAAAAGTGTGCTTACCCAGTCACCATGTGGCATCAGCAGCGGGTCATGCTGGTGTTAGTGTCCCATTATGTGCAACAGCCGCAGCTACATTAGTCAACTATCTTCTTATCAACGGCGGTCTACGTACTTATAGGCTAGAAAGTTCGATTAGAGTGAGAAGTAACCGGTAAGGGGAATAGATTTTCTTCGTTGTCTTTGCCTATGACTATAGCCTAGATGCAGTTAGGAAAGAATTTCATCCATTTGAGTGACCTTCTCTAACAGTTGGACTCGACGGGTATCTTGAGGCTGGGGAACTTGTATATGTAGAACTATAGTCTAGGCCCGGAGGAGAGTCGCCCAGGTGGCCAATGAGGATTAGCCAGTCGCTAGTCAGACAATAAGCACCCTTTCTCTGTTACTCCGGCCTGGACTCAAATAGAGCACATTGCGATGAGCATGGGTGTAGTCAGGAATCCCACTCCTACTGGAGGACTAGCCTAGATTCAGATCACTCTTTAAAGTGTGCTAAATTCATTTTGCATTCTGATCGTCACTAAAATCGTTGGCCAAAACGAATAGACATAAACAAACTGGTTTCTTACAGTTCTGCAAATAAATAACAAACTAAGCAAAATCCAATCCAAGTCATGGAACCTACAGAAATTATAGGCGAGAATTGATTGTACTTACAAGGAACCATGAAAACAGTGGGTAAAGCTGCTTGTGACTTCGAAGAAAGTCAGGTCACTGAACACTGTGTTTGTCTCAACTCTTTACAACTTCTTGACACTCGCCGGTATATTCCGGTAGGCAGGACGTATGCAAAAAAGTGTGGTACTCTTTAA